CGTAGGGAACCCGATTATCCGGTTCTTACTCAGTCCACAGTAGTCGTACAATTCCACGACTATCATGCTGAGAAAATTTTTCTGGGCAAGGAGATCCCCGTATCGTGGACGAGTGGATTCAAAATCTTAGAAATGAATTAAGTTTGAGAACTCTAGATTCAATTCTAGATTTATTCAAGTCAAGTTAGCAACTTGTCAGAAGATTTGTAAGCACTTGTGCTAAACAAATCTTAATAATCATGTTTCTCAGATATTTTTATCGAGAACTGCCATTTTGTCAATCAATTGGCAGACTTCAGGGAGAAATTCCTTGATTTAATTCGAGGAATAGACTCAAATTTCTTAAGACAGATCAGTAAATCATGTTCAAGGCAAGAATTTTCATGTTCAAGGTTGTTATAATTCTCAAGTCATTGTTAAGGTAACGGTTTCCAGTGTATAAGAGTCAATAGTCCGGGTTACCATGGAGGCTTGAAATAATAGCCATTCAGCCGGGTATACCATGGAGGCTTGAAGCTTAAACCGGAGCAGTATGATTTCATGTAATAACAACCTTTCAAGTCAGTCATGTCAGATATTTTATCAGTCATGATATTTCAAGTTATGACTTCAGAGATCATGATCAGATAATTACTTTGTACTTGCGGGACCAGTTGATACTGGAGCAGCTCTATATAGTACAGAGTTATAAATTCATGTTCACGATTTACAGTTTATGTTCATGATGTAAGGTCGACGTATAATAGTTGTTCAGCCGGGTTAAATGTGGCGGTCTGATATACAGACCATTAGTCCAAATTTACCTGGAAACTTGAAGTCGTACCTTATCAAGTCAAGAAAGTCAGTAAATATCACGTTTTCAATTCCGAAGCGACTATTTAGTTGTCTCGGGATAGCTTTCAGCGTTCAGACAAAGATGATTCAGTCATGTAAGAGTCAAGTCATGGTCATTCAGTTATATGAATGTTCAGGCCAGTCATGTTAAGATCAAGGATAGTTTGTCTAATAAGACAAGACTTATCTATCATTTTCAGTATGTCAGCACCTCGATTCTCAAATTCTGAAGAATCTGAGAAATCGTGAGAGGTATTCAGTCATGATGGACTTCTTCTTGAGGTTATGTTTAACCTCAGAGGGAGTAAAAAGTTGCAGGTACCACAGGTTGACATACGCCGCGACGAAGAAGGGCCAATCGACAGCAACGGATCGTGCCATGATGACAAACCGACGCCTTCCATTCAAAGATGCCATGCTTGAGTCTCAGTACACTGGGAGATTACAGAGAGTTAGTATTAACGTACATTGAGGTTACTAGCTTGAGGTATTTATGCGATCAGATTATGTCGACGACGTAGGTGCAATGTTCGCCAGGTGCTGTATGCAGGCGTGCCGCACTCACTTGATGAGGAGCAGGTGTGCCGCAATACAATGTGCCGCGAACGGTGTGTCGCGTTGTCGAGCAGACATTCATGAAGGTAATGACCAATATAGCTAGTTATCCTCATTTGTGCATATGTGAATCTCTGGAATCTTCCATGTGTACCAACGATAGGAGTCTTCACTACCAGCATTCCGATTGGAGATCAGCCAGCAGCCAGGAGATAATGACCAATACGTTTCAGAGTTTCATTTTGAGATCATGTCTTATCAGTGGAACACTTTCTTTCAGAAAAGTGTCCATTCTCAGTCAGCAGTAATCAACAATTCACTTAATTGTGAATTGATGTATCTTCAGTTCAGATTAAGTCTATTATTCAGTATTAAAGTACTGAATTCTCAAGTCATGTAATCAGTAAGTATAAGCTTTAGGTTAAGCTTGTACATTCCAGTTTTAGTATTTCCGAGGACGAAAATATTTTAAGGGGGGTAGATTGTAACGCCCCGTGTTTTATTAATAAAGGAAAATACTAGCTTTCAGTTTTAAGCTAGCCCTTATTAATAAATAATCATGTTCATGTTCAAGTTCAGATTAATCAGTCAGTTTTATTCTAAGTTCGACTATTAGTCGATAAGTTATTCGGTTTACTTATTTTAGTAACCGAATAAGTTTATAGATTTAATTCCGATTCGTTTAATTAATTAATGAGTCCGGAATTAATTATTCAGTCAGGAATAGCCCGTCAGATTAATAATATAAATCATGTTTTAGTTTCAATATAATAATATTTTTGAGTATTATTTTCAGAATTAATTGTCTCCGTCGAGATTACCCGAAATTATTTTCGACGTCCCGTTTACGTTCGGAATAATTTTGGTAATTAAGCATTATGTTTAATTAAATAAGTGATTAAATATGCTCAATTTGAAAAAAAAAAATGCAGTAGCAAATTGTTTTGAGAAATTGAGCAAATTTTCCCTTAAAAATGCGTGAGCATTTTTATGATGTGAGGAGAATTTTCTTCAAGCTTAAGGAAGTTAAACTTTTCCTCTTCTTTAAGTAGTAGCACGTGTCATGTTAGGAAAAGTTAAGGGTGATTAATCATTTTATGATCACTAAAATGCTAACAAGTGTCCTAAAAAGGGAAGGCCACCAAGGCTTGATGTCATCTTTCCCCATTGGCGCCGTGTGTATATATATGTGGGTATTTGGGAAAACTTTCCCATACTCCTTCACCCTATATTCAGCGTAAGTTATATATATATTAAGAATTAGAGAGATTTGAGGTATTAAGTGAACAATTGCTAGTTCAAAGCACACAAGAAAGCTTAGCCGAGTACCACAAGCTTAGTTCGAGTACTGCACATACACGCGAATACTGAGCAAGGGAGAGGTAACGATGGTTTACCTTAGTTTAATCATGTTAAAGTCATATGAATTCAATATTGCTTTATTCATGTCCGATACGGTTTAAATTAGAGTCGACCGTACGAGTAAAGCACCAAGTACGATCATGTTTTATTCTAAATATCTCGATCAAACTCTATGTATTCAGCCATATTATGCAATATCATGTTCAGTTAAGCTTCTGTGTTCGGAAGAATGTTTCATGTTCAGTTGAGTTTGAATTGCCGAGAGAAAACCGAGTTTGGTCGTAGAACGGCCTAACGCCGTCGGCGGCGCACGGCGTGCTCGCCACGGCCCCTTTTCAGTTGATCGTGCGATAAGTGTCATTTTCAAGTTATTTCCATCACCATGTTCATATTAAGTCATGTCATGTTGTTTTATGTTAAGATTGTCGGGAAAGAAACACCGGACGGCCGACGAGGGTCGGCCGTACTAGTGCTGTCCGCACGTCGCGGCCGCAGCGTACCGGCAAGTGTGCATGGTGTGAGTGGTGCGCGGTATAGCCGCCGCGTGTGGCCAATACCGCAGCAAGTAGTTGTTGGCAGTGAGTATATGCACGCCAACGTTCAGTCGTGCACGTTAGCGTGCGGTAATGCATGCCAGAGTGCACAGTCGCACGTCAGTGGCCTCGGCAGTGCCCAACGGGCCGCACGAGTAGCCAGCGCCGCGGGTGTCGCTCAGTAGCGCCCGCGCAGCGCCAGATATGTCCAGCCAGCGCCTGTGAGCACACTCACGAGTTAAGCAGCACGTCGCGGTGATCGGTAACACCAGACCGTGCCCAGTCACGCGGCAGCCGACGCACGTAGCGTTCGACAATGCCCAAGTCTCGACCCGATGAACCTAATTCATGTCAGCCATGGCCAGGTGCACGCAGCACCCTTGGCCGTGACCAAGGCAGGCCCTGCAGTGGCCGTGCCCGCATCCAGTCCCGTCAGCAGCCGTGCCACGGCCATGGCAAGGCCGTGGGCCGAGTCAGCCGCCAGCCGACCGGTCAGAGCAGACCGGCGGTCCGGCGAGACCGGTTCGGATCGGTTAATACCGGTTTGACCCAAATAACGTTATTTTAGTCCCGGTTCGCACATTAAGTGCCCTTTCAGTTAAATTTCCGGGATTAATTCAGTTCAGTAAATTCATGTCCGATCAATTCATGATTAGTTCAGTTCCGGTTATTCCGGTTAAGTCTAAATATCATGTCAGGTTCAGTAGAGCATCTTAACGAAATTAATCAAGTCTGAGCATAGTCAATAGTAATTGTTTATATTATTTTTCAGTTTGATCAGGCATCAGCACTACCGTTCAGTTTCAGCAGTTCAGGTGGGGACTCAGACTAAGTACTACATTGATTATAATTACGGTACCATGTTAGAGGTATGTATTTCAGTTGAGGTATCCGCTCGGAATGGTCGCCGGTCCATTCTGGGTTCTAGTGGCCCTAGTCTGCCCACTAGAGTGTGCACATGGTGTCCGGCTTTGCCGGCAGATGAGGTAACGGTCAGGGTCACGTTTGCGTGACGATTTCAGATTCATGTTCATGTTATTACCGGCTTTAGGTTGAGGTTGAGGTTATGTATATGCCGATATCATGATGTTGTTATTATTTTCAATGTTTACATTAGTATGAGTTTGCACGGAGCACAGTGCCATAGTGCTCATTTCCCACTTTTATCATGTTTTTCATGTCAGGATGTCGGGCAGGGAGTGTGACGTGACGATGGCTTCAGGACTTTCATGTTTTGAGTGTATATATGTGATGATGATTTACGTTTCCGCTGATAATGACTTTTGACGAACTTATATTTTGACGAACTTTTGGAAAACTTTATGTTTCAATAACAGTATGATTTTATTAAAAATTAAAATAACGGTTTTCCAAATTAAGTCACGATTTTAAGGTAGCACCCCGAATCAGTTTTCGCAAAGTAGAAGATTTTATTTTTAAATAACTTTGCGAAATTTTCGCACTCTGATTTTACGATAAGGTGGGGTGTTACAGGTTCTATAATTTCTGAGTCCCAATTTAACTTGGCAGCCACTTCATCTTGTTTTCTACAACATTAATTACATTTTTATAAAGTAAAAGTCTAATCTTTTCACTAGTTTTCAACAAGATTACATTTTTATTTGGTAAAAATTCAATCTTTACCAAATTCTCAGGTTAAAATCTCAAAATGAAGATTGACAAAACACATAAGCAAACAAAAAAAAGAAAATATAATCACAAAAATAACTCCAGAAAGTTCACCTCTTTGCCAACCAAAGGTTTCGGTATGATCCTGCGCTACATTAAACACAATTAATTAATATCATTTATTGGGAGAATTAAAAAAATACAGTAATAAAGGCAACTAAATATAACATTCCATGTAATTGAAACAAAATCATATCCTTAAATCGAAAGACCAAAAAAAAAAAAAAGAAAAGCAACCCAAGAACATGTCCGCCGCCGGCATGAACAGCTTTAGCGACGAGGCCCATCAGACCAATACTTCCTCCACCGTAAACAAGATCCAAACTTTTCTCCACCTTCATGCAAAACACACACACACACACACGGCCACGTCATCACCACTCAAAAACCATAAAAAATTAAAACAAAAAATAATAATAATAAATATATTTTACCAGTTGATGCCCTAGCTCGAGAGCTGCTTCTCTGTAACAATCTCTTTTTCCAGCACTGCTCCCGCAGAACACACAAACCTTCTTGAATCTCGATTTTACTACTTTTTCATCCAACTACTTCTTGCTTCTCTGTAATAGTTTCTCTTATTTTTCTTTTTTCCCAACTTTTTGTGGAGAGCCTGGAGTTGTGTGCATATATAATTATTAAATGGAGAGCCCAAAAGCCAACTACTCACATCCTATGCTTTCTTTTTCCAAAACTAATTATCAAATGGAGACAAAAATAAATAATGAAGTAAAATAAGAGAAATTAATAAGATATGGCTTTTTTTTTGAATTTTTACTTTTGTGTTTGGGGCTTTGCGCCTTCGAACCCTAGGCGTACAAGTGGATTCTGCATTCAATCATATTAATACGACATCTGTGTATTACACGGGTGCTGATTAAAAAATTATTCTTACAAATTTTAAAAAATTATTCTTACAAATTATTTTAAGAAGATATGTGTTACTTACAGCATCTCCAACCATATACTTTATCCCTACAGTTTCAACAGTAAATTCCCCCCAGTTTTACAGTTTGAACAGTTAATTCCCCTCTAAAAGAATATTCCAAACATATTCTTTTCTAATTTTATTATTTTATTAAATAATCTCTACAAATTATATTTTAATGCATTATGCTTGCTAAAATTTACATATCTATGAATATATATTAATTATTGATTAATAAGATTGATATTAAATTTAAATCAAATCATAAAATTGCACATCTATTAATATATAATAAAAATTAACTTAATTCACTTTTAGTATTCTTTTCCCACTAAAACATTAATTATTGCCTAAATATAGTAACTTAACAAGTTTTCATTAATTATTGTCTAATTATATTAGATATGTTTTTCCCATTTTTTTTTTCTTTTATGATATGGAATAAAAATCCAAAACAATATCCTCTTAATTGATGTGTTGGGCGGAATTATATTACCTACTTAACATACTCTCATTAATTATTTCCTAATTATATTACATATGTTTTTTTTGATTTTTTTCCAATTTAAGTCTAGACCATATATGGTTTAGGGCATATATTCACATTTTGAAAAAAGATTGTAGTAAACTGAATGGAAAATCCCAACTGTAGGATTTAAGTC